GGAAAAGGGAGGAGAATAGCATTCTTGGCTAAGAAGAAGAAGTAATGGACTGAAGCTAATCCAATATGCATAGAAGCTAATCCAGGACAGATGAGAAATAGCTGAGGAGCAAGTGGTAGAGTGCAGCTGGGAAGAACCAGTTATTAAAAATACTGACTTGCTTTGCTTGAATTTTTTATGTGGTGTTAATGAAAGTAATTCAGATATGCATAGTAGTTTAGTGTTTGAAATATTTTACTCCCCCCCCTCCCCCTTACAAGGTGCTCCAAATGTTCCTATTTGATTGGGGTGGCACTCACACTGTACTCGAGAAGCCACATGACTTTCCTAAGTTACACAGCTAGAGTGGGGAGGGAGAGGGAAGTAAGCCAAAGGCCAAATTCTAGGCTCAGCTCTTGGTCCATGGTAAATACTATCTACCAGAGAGTGCAAAGACAGATGGTACTTATCATCTTTGCCTATATAACACTTTTCAATAACAAAACTTATAATTCAAAATACTGAATGAAGTTTATCTGTATAAAGCTTATATGAAAATTATATTTAAATACTATGTATCAATGTCAATTATATACTGCCACTGTCATCACTGTCATTGAATACTTAGAAAAATATATCCACTTAGAACACCCTATTTCTGTTTTGCACTAGTTTTCCCTATGACTGTCTTTTTTTTAACCTGAGGTATAGGTGACATATAGTATTATATTAGTTTCAGGTGTACAACATGATGGTTTGATATCTGTATATGCTACAAAATGGTCACTACAAAAAATCTACATTCATCACCATACATGATGATGAATCTACATTCATCACCATCACATGGAGTAGTTCTCCATGTGATGAGAACTACTCTTGCAAGATCTTTAAGATTTACTCATAGCAAATTTCAAAAATACACATACAGCTTTATTAACTATAGCTATCAGTTGTTTATTTTATAACTAAAAGTGTGTAACTTTGACCTCCTTCACCCATTTTTCTACCTCCTACCCTCTACCTCTGACACTACTTTGTAGATGAGCTTTATTTTTATCATAGTGGTTTGAGATTCCACATTTAAGTGAGATCATACTTTGTCTTTATCTGACTTATTCCATTAAGCATTATGCTGCTGCTGTTCACTGATGCTGCAAACAATGAAATTTCTTTCTTTTTTATGTCTGAATAATATTCCATTAGGTAGGTACATATACTACAACTTCCTTATCTATCCATTTATTGATGTCACTTCAGCTTCCAAGTCATGACTGTTGTAAATAATGCTGAATGAACAAGAGAATGCAGGTGTCTTTCGAATTAATGTGTTTTCATCTCCTTTTCCTAGTGTTAATGACTTATTAGCTCTATGATCTTAATCAAACTACATAAACATTTTAAAATCTCATTCGCCTCACTTATAAAAGCAGCAATAGTTTTACAAAACTCTTAGAGTAATTAGAGTTTGAAGTATTTGGCAAAGAAAAAGTATTCAATAAATAGCCACTGTTGTTACTACAAAAGTAATATTGGACATAATGTTTGATGATTTCTACAGAATTTAACACCTCTTTGTTATTTTTAAATTCTTTTACAGACATATCTGTGGAAAAATAGTCTGTTACATTTATAACACACAATGCTTTATTATAATTTTTCTTAATTAAAAAGTAACATAATATGCACTCATGTCAAGATGGAATTCTTTTGGCCATAGACATTTTCATTAGATTGTTCCTCATTGGCTGATAAACAAGCATGTGCTAGTCCTTACTAGAAAAAGAAAATACATTTCTACAACTGGAAATACCCCAATTCCCAGACAGCCCATGTCACACAAGTGACTGTAATTTCTATGTTTGTGAGTCATATAATGAGCTCAAATTGTTCTTTAGACGTAGGGCCTTCACAGTAGACAAACAGAAACAGTGCATATCACTTCAAGTCTCCAGGAAATGATTTTAAAATATCTCATGCTGTGTTTGTGATAAGGATTGCATCACCTTCATGAACATCCTGTGTGTAAGATGAAGACTCCCAGGTGGGGCAACCCATTGTCTACAACGAAAGGAGAAAAGTACCCCAACTCAACCTACAGACAGAGGGGACACTGGAACTCCACTTGGGAAGTAATCTTGCTTTAAAGATTATCCAATTTATTGGTGACTGTTAAAAAGGCTCAAGAGTTCTCAAAGCCATATTGCTACTATTTTCAGAGTTACAGAGTAAAAGTCCACAGTAATGAAAGAATAAGTAAAACTAGTAAAGAGTACTTGGTTTAATTTGGTTGATCCCAATGTAAACTAGTCCTGTAAATTCTTAGAAACATGGGGTCTATGGAACAGCTACAGTTATACCTGCAGAGTGATTTAAAAAACACAGACTAAAGTCTGAAGTGAGTCATCAGAGGGAAGAAAAGGGCTCAGAGACAGAGGAGGGGTCAGATTCAACATGAGAGATGATAAAGAAAGTCGGAATAAGTAGAGGAATAGACCCATCATAAAGGCAGCTTTCCAGCAAGCAATCAGCACATAAATCAAAGAAAGCACAGCCTGCATATAAAGTCAAAGGAGAGAAAGACTCAGCTTAGTAATGGGATTCATAGTAATACTTTCTGTGCCCAAACTTAATTTGTTTAGTATCAGAAGGAAAGTTAATTTTTAAACAGTCCTTCCCACATCTGCTACTTCCATCCTGTCTGTGTGATTGTCATAAATTAGGACTGGAGGAGAGCTCAGTGCCAATTGTCAAAACAAACAGGCCACTCTGAATTCCAAGTTTCATATTATTTTCCTTGGGCCTCAGAGTTGGTGAAGCCTGCTTGTTCTAATTGTGGCCCATGCCAGCACTGGAGCGGGAAAACCCTCTCCACTGTATCTTGGCAGGGCGAGTTTATGAGCAAGGTCAGGAGGGAGCCTTGTCTTCCTGGTGTCACAGGTCTTGGGAAGAAAAGGGAAGTTCTTTAACATGAAGTTAATGTAGGCCCACAGCACTAAATGAACATCAGTACCATTACTACAAGGGTGGACACAGTTAGGTCTCCAGCATTATGAATAGTGTTTGTTCTGCATGTACATCTTTCTGACTCTCTCCCACTCCTCTTAGAGTTAAGATCTATGTATTTTCTGCATCTCTCATAGGGTTTAGACTGTGGTAGACCAGAAGACCCGCCATACCTTGGCCTCTTCTGCTTCTTTATTTTACAGAACGAGACCAATGAAGGTTCATGGTCTGAGAGAAAAGGTATGGCAGGCCAGCTTTGGTTCTCCTTTTCCTGCCACAAACTTATAAGTGCAATCAGCCCTCAGGTCAAACCTGTACCTCTTCCTTTCTTGTGAGGGCAGTGGGGTAGGGTCATATTAGTGGGTGGTTTTAGGAAGGCCTCGCTGGGCTCGTGCTTGACTTACAGACATATACTTGACCTACACTAGAGTTAAATGGACCAGCCCTGCCTGAAGAGAATGCCACTTTGTATCCCACTAGCCAGTCCCATGTTTTATATATCTTTCAAGAAAGTTAAAGCAGAACTGCGAAATGTCTACCATCCGTGGTCTTGACACAACCCTATCAATACTGGAATCTCACCAGAAGCTACTAATATATTTGTCTTTTTTAAATTGCTGTTAATGCCAGTTATTTACATACACACAAATATTTATTAGTTCAGGGGTATATTTTCACACAACCACATGTGAAGTGTCCCTCACCCTCCACAAGAATGCCCCTGCCACAGTCCTACCTTCTTCTTCTCCTATCCCTGCCTTCCGCCCACTGTTCTGTCAGGTGACCATTTATTTTTCACTGAGTTTTCATATTCTTTAGGTAAACAACTAGCATTGATATTGGTAGGCCCTGTGGTTTCCTTTTGTTTTCTTCATACAGTTTTCTGCAGAGGCTGTCCGCTGAGTCTTAAGATATGTTATAAGCCCTGGCTACGTGTTCATACAACCACCTTCATGGTGCTTTTGCTTTACCTTAAGCCACTGCAGCTTTTAAGTTTACAATCTCACTAAAAATGGAGAGAATTCTTTATTCTCCACATCCTCAACAACATCCATAGTTTCTATTCATTTTTCTATAGGTCACACCTACAGGGGTGAAGTGACAGCTCATAGTGATTCGGATGTGCCTTTCCCTTGTAATAAGTGATGTTGAACATTTTCCCATGAGCTGCTAGGACATCTGAATGTGTTTGGAAACTGTCTCTTTAGGTCTTATCCACTATTTTATTGGGTTGTTAAGCTGTATGACTCCTATATACACTTCTTTTTTCTCCAGTAGCATCAACTGACAGAAGAGGAACAGCAGCTCTTCTGTCTGCAGATAACTTCCAATCATTTCCTTTCCCTTGAGTTTATTTTCATTATTACTATGGGAAACTTAAAGCTGCAGTGGCTTAAGGTAAAGCAAAAAGCACCACGAAAGTGCTTGTATGAATATGCAGCCAGGGCTGATACTGCATCATTAAGACTCAGGGGACTCCAGGGCAAATATAACAATATTAGTGTACTAGAGAAAGGTATCTTTGTAAATTTTGCATGGATGCTTGTGAGAACACATCGGCACCTGAAGTGGGAAGACTGGTTTAGAATGAAGGAGTAGATAAAGCCTTACAGAAGGAGAAAGCTTAGAAAACAATTTGAAACAATTTTACCATCTAGAAATGGTCCAGAGATAGCATTAACTGAGCAAACATTTACCAAACTCAATGGGATAACAAATGAAGAAAAGCCTATCCATCTATTCACTATCCATCAAATGTTCAAACTGGTGTTATGATTTTATTATGGAATAGTTAGAGAAAAACTTGTATCTATGTTTAAAAAAAAGTATACCATTATACCTCTCCATTAACTATCACTCTGAGAGCTAATAACTCTCACATCTCATCTTTCACTTATGGTATTGGAAGGCTACCCTCTAGTATAGTCATGTATCAATCTGAACAAGCAATTTGAGTGCAATATGAAATGTGTATAGCATTTTTATTGAAATCATAAAGAAGAGAATATTCTTACCAGTTGCCTTTGGGATTTATAAGCTGCTGCACTGCATAGCCAAACTGTTCACTTGAAGAACCAGAAAATATTTTTGCTCCTGTGAGACCAACATTGTATGCCATACAACAATTTAAAATTCCTATTAAGAAAAAAATGAAAACATAGTCCATTTGTGAATACAACAATTATATTTGTAATTTTCAAAATTCACTTAAAAATTCTTATTTGATGTAACAATTATCTTTATCAATATTGTCAAAAAATAGGTATGGCTTTTAAACATGTATCTGACCCTGGTACCTCAGTAAGTACTTTCTATGTGTGACTGAGTATCTCATTGAACCTCACAGAAGCCCTATAGGAGATAATTGCTATCATTATCTTTGTTTTGCAGAGATTCCTGAACCAAAAGTTAAAGTGTATCTCATAGGAAGACGGTGGTAAGGGTAAGGCCTGATTCAAGAACTTAAACTTTAAACCATATGTGATTACTTCTTGAAGTTTTAAGTAAGTTAGTTCTACTTGTCCTTCACGCACAGGACCATAAGCCACCTGAGGATAGGGTCAAAGATCCTATCTTCTATTTTTTTTTTTTCTGAACTAATAATCTTCACATGGAGTCTAAATGAAATGTCTGCAATGAAAGCATTGCTAACTACATCACAGCTCCTTGGAAACTGAATCATTTTCTTTCACAAGGGGTCATTTTAAAGATGAAAATGTAGGGAAAGGTGTCCTGTGGCTTTTACCCAGTGAGAACTGTAAAATAGATTTTGCTTTTTGATGCTTTCTGAATGCTTAAGAAACAATGATCATTTTCAAGACCAAAAAGGCTAAAACCTTGATAAACTTAACAACAACAACAAAAAAGTACAACACCTAATCTTTTTCTCCACATTAAGAGCATAAATTCTGGCATTATATTCTGGAGAAAGAAGGTTGTATGGATATTAATACTCTCGACAGAGATGGGAATATGTTTAATGTAGCTTGAGATCAGTATTTATCCTTGCAGACCCTGAAGGCAGAGTAGACACTTTAAAAGTAACATCAAAGTTCCATTAATATGTACTTTCTGAGCAGTTGGAAAATGCACAGTATTTTGTAAGTATTGTTTCAGGTCCTGAAAGGATGAAAGAAAAGGTTTTGCTCTTCCATTGTGCCTTTGAACTCTGGGAGCCGATTCTACAGCTTGCTCCAAAGAAATAATGAAATCAATGATGAAACTTTGGAGACTTAGAATAGTTAACAGGCCTTTCTTTGTGCCAAATCATTCCACCACAGATTTGTTCACTCAAGTGAGCTCAGTTCATTGTTTCTTAAAAATATCTGCTGCCAAGAAGAAAATGACAAATAATAATTTTGAAGTAATACTCTGTGGTAAAATTTACATAGCTCTACATTTGCAAATTTTCTCTATCACATTGCTTTTTTTTTTCTTTCATATGCATTACCTCTCCTTTTTATTTTCAAGGAAATACAATTCAAAAAAAAATAATATAGCAAACTAAGCAGAGAATCAGAATTGACATTCTGAATACTTGGCTTCCAATCAGTAGTTTGACTTCTTCCCATTTATGCATCACTCAATAAATGTTATTTTAAGTATGCTAGAAATTATCTAACATACCAGCAAAATCTTGGGAGATGTCAAGCTCTTTTTGCTTTTAAATTATTTAATACTGGAAAAACCACATATGACTATATATGTCATCACTTCACTTATCTCCCATCTCAGTGGATAATGCAATGACATGGAATCATGATTAGGTTCATTTTATCAGCTAGCAGTAAATATATACACATATGTATATATACAGATAGCTATAGTTACCACCTTAGAAATAAGGAAACTAGAAGTTCACTTGATTGTCTAAAAGTTAAATACTATATATATGTGCATATATTTAGTTTTATGCATATGCTATATATATACATATATGTACATGTAGACACACACACACACATTATTCAAAAACGTAAATAAGGTCATTTAATCTCTTTGCTTAAGATAACCCAATGTCTTCCCGTTACACTGAGAATCAAATCCAGTTTCCTTACCAGGTTTCAAAGATCCTTCCTGATCTGACCCTTGTGTATCTGGTGACTTCACTTTCCACCACCCTCCTTGCTCAGTGTTCTAGCCACATCGGCTTTCCTTCTGTCTTTTGAACACACCCAGCTCATTCTGTTTCTGGCCTTTGCAGCTGTTTGAGCAACTGCTTACATCATTCTTCCCCACTCAGAATTTCTGTCTTGGCACTATTTAGAGTTTTGCTCAGCGAGCTCTGAGAAGTCCTAGTAGAGATACTCCCACCCTCTCTGTCTGGCACCACACACCATCACAACACCAATCATCACTGAAATTTTCTTACATATCTGCATGTTCTTTGTATTTTGTCTGTCTCTACCCCCTATAATCTAAGTGTCTTTGAATGCTTAGAACTTCTATTAGTGCACATTTTCTCAGCACTTTGGATAAAGTTGGTTGAATGAAATGAATTGTAAATTTATATTTATTCTTCAGTGCCAATTTGGAATATAGAGAAAATTAGTAGAAGAAAGTTCACTCGCCTCATTCTACTGCATGTACAGTTCATTTGGATATATTTCCTTTCAATATTTCCTTATCAAAACCATAATGTATAACCTAATTTGTATCTTGTTTCTTAATACTTATCTATGACTATTTCTGAATCATTTTGACTCATTTTGTCCCCACAATAACCTCGTGAAACATAAATTACCCATGTACAAATAAGGAAACTAGCCTGGTGTTAAGTGCCCTTGTTCAGTGTCACACAGTTGGTGACTGAGCTCTGCATCTTTCATATTTAAGTATTTCATATTTATTTCATGAAATAAATCCACCTATCCCAACATTCTCAAAGTTTGTGAACTCATACAGCATGATCTCTAAGTACAAGTATTTTATCTAAATATCATCAGCTAAAAAGTTCAAATTCTTAAAATCTACATCAGATTATGTTTGAGACTCCAGGTAGGTGCTCTCCTGGTATAAAATTTCCCTCCATCTATGGAACTGTGAATCTTAACATCAGGCATAGTATAAAAGTCATGTCATAGACATTTCCATTCCCAAAGGAAAAAAATAGAAGAATAAAGGGTGTGAAATTCCCCAGTAAGTATGACAGCTAGTTGAACACATTCCTCAAGTTTCAATAACCCTCTGTTGCTCATGGCTCTGCCCTCTGGGCCCACAAGTGGCGCTAATGGCCTCTGCCTCTCTGTTCCCTTCAGTGCAAGATGACAGTGTTTCTGCTGAGACAACATTCCTAAATAGTTTGTAGATTTCCTATGGATGTCATGGAGAAAAACACCATTACACAAGAGAGGTTGCCACAAATCTTTCCTGGATAACTGCATATATCATTCCTGGCCTCTGCTCAGAGATGGTTAAGAAGATCCATGAATCATATGTCTGATCTGTTCAGCAAAATGTTTTCCAACCATACCCTCTGTTCTCTCTTTAGAGCACACTTTCTTAACAATGAATCTCATAACACTAGTATCCATTTGTCTTTTTTTTTTTTTTTTGTAATCTGCTTACGTTGAGAATGTTTCAAATAATCAAATAATGGTTAAAACAACATATTGAATTAAAATCAATTGCTTTCTTTCCTCTTGCATTTTACTACATTCAGCAACGAAAATGCAGGTTTCACTGTTGATATTTTGTTCAGATAGCTTCCTAGCTAAATATCTACATTTATTGCTCAAGAATTCTTCTTTCCACACAACTGTAGGATAACATTAGACCAAATTTTCTAACATAATCTAACAAGGGTCATCCAACAACATGTCCTTCATCTCCTCCTGAGTTCTTTCCAGAAGTGTCTTTAATATTCCCGTTTCTACCACAGACTCCACAAGACAAGCTAAGAAGACCCACTATCCACAGAAGGTAATACTCACAGGTTTGGGAATTTAAGACATAGAAAGATCTCCTAGAAGGACACCATTCAATTCAATAGGTATCCTAACAATGTCAGAACCAACTAAATCTACCTGGGCCATTTCTCAAGATTGTGTTAGTAGACAGAAACCTGAGGGTTGAGGTCATTTTCTCCTCCAGGCCAGAAAGTAGACAGCTGCCTTTTGTCTAGGACTGCAGGTTCATGAAATTGTTATTTTTATCTTACAATGCAGTGGTGAGTATGCATCATCCAGTAGGACTCCTTTACATAGACCCCTTTCATGGCAAACTTACATAAATACACTCATGGTATTTGCTGTGTTCTAAGTCATAAAGTCCTTAGTCTTGGATTCAGGATTGTCATGTCATCAGTCAATATCCATGACATAACAACAGACGAATGCACTAGCTTGTATGTGGGTAAATAAAATACTAAGCCTTGTGACCTTAGTGACAATAAAAATGGATGCCATCTGGGAGCTCGGGACTATCTTGGGGAATATTTTATCTTTTTATGGGGTTGAATAAGGATTTGAATGAATATGAATTTATCTCAACTTTAAGAAACAGAGACTCCAGCTGACATCTAGATAATAATTCTCTGCTCTATGATTTGTGGCTATTCCTTTCACACATACCCCACCCATTGCCAAGTATATGCAAGTGTCACTTATTTCACAATTATTCTGAGTTTGTAGCAAACAAACATGTGCACCACTTCCATGATCAGAAACAAATCCAGCCTAATGGAGTTAGTCATGAAGAATGGTGTTCTCCTTAACACCTCCCTCAGGTTTATTATTGAAGCCCAGACTTTCTATGTAACTATGTTTGCAGACATGGTCTTGAAGGAGACAATGAAAGTTAAGAGGTCGTAAAGCTGGGATCCTAACCCGACAGTACAGGTGTTAAACCACAGGAAGAAGAGACACCAGAGCTCTCACGCTCTCTGAATGGACATATAAGAAAGGCCACACAAGAAAGGCCACACAAAGAAGGAGGAAGGCAGCCATATGCAAGCCAGGAAGAGTCCTCACCAGAAATGAACCCTAAGGGCTTCTTTATCTTGGACTTCCAGTTCCTAGAGCTTGAGAAAATAAGTGTGTGCTATTAAAAATAAAAAAGAAGAAGAAATCCAGTTTGTGATCTTTTGTTATGGCAGCCCTAGCAGACCAAGACTGGGAGAAATCAAGTTAGACTAGAAAATTTCCATTCACTATTTTGACTTTCAAAGATAATTCTGTTGCGGGCCTCCCTGGTAGTGCAGGGATTAAAGTCTCAGTGCTATCAAGCTATCTCCAGCTACTGAGGCAGAAGACCTCTTCTCTCTGCTCCCCTCAACAGTGTATTTCAGTAGGTCTGCCTGTTCTGCTCCCACTCTATCTCTGGTGAGAATACTCTCACACCCCTCCCCCCCATCACACTCCCCACCTCTGGCCTAAACCCCAGTTCTTCTATGCCTAAATAAATCAAAATCAAAGTTAATTCTGTCAATACATAGACATGTATATAAATGCAATGAAAGTACTAATTTCAGGTATATCATTTAAGGTTCCTATTTTGTGTAAAAAAAAAAAATCCAAGTGTTTTTTCATGACAAAGAAACCACATCAAATTTTGGAGCTCTGTGAGGGTTAGGCGATTTTGAAGTCCTCTCACACTTCAAAAATTCCATCTTACAGGCTATGAAAGTAAGTGCAATTTTTGTTAAGTATGTTTATTAGAGTTCCCTAACAACAATTGAATAGTAGATGCATTGTCTCTTAGGGGCTGATGGGGAGACAGTGAACTGCAGGAGAAAGAACGTTGGCCACTTTCTGGGAAAAGTACTAGGAATGCCATCTCATCAGTCCACTTTCATTTTTAACACTTTCTTTCTAAACTGTGCGAAAGGAGAAATTTCTTTCACTCAAAATTGCATATTTTGTGCAGCCATACAGTCAGGGCTTACGGACTACCTACCTCAGTACCACGTTAAGCCTCACACATCTGAGGCAGCATATGGAAACAGTAGGCAAAACTGGTGTTAGTGCTGCCTCTATTCATCTCAGTTCACAGTTGTCTCTCTACAAACTTTCGGTTGGGGTTTTCCTCACACCCTAGCCCACACACAACACATTTGCTTCTCTTATTGTCATGCGCTACTTTTAAGTATCAGTCAACTACCCTCCTGTTAACTGTGACCCTGATATTTGATTATCACTTTCACCACTTTGAGTTCACTTATTCTATATTGCTTTAGCTCACTGAATTAGACTGGCTTTTTGTAAAACACATATAATGTCCAGAACTTTTGCATTTGCTTTGATTACTTAGAATACTCTTCTCCCAAAGAACATCAACTTCACTCTGCCTTTAGTTTCTGCATCAAACACCAACCCACTAGAAATGCCTTTCTTCACTACCTATGATGACCAGGGGTCAATGGTTCACCCATTGAATAGTATCTCCCTCCAGGGGATCAATGGCCCACCTGTCTCACACTATTCATAGCCTTATGTGAGGTAGGCCTGTGACTTCACATCAATAGAATTGAAGATTCAAAAATTAGAATTAAACATCAAAGGGTGTCATCTCTGCTGTTACAGCACATGAGTCCTGGGTTAACTTCAATTTTGCTGCCAGAGACTCTTTCTTAGTGGCTTTGATGAAGCAAAGAGGCCCAAAGTCAAAACACTGAAGGCAGCCTCCAGCTGAGAGCAGAGGAACAAAGGTTCTCAGTCCAACAGTCTTGGAGAAGAGAAATTTTGCCAGCAACAGAACTGGAGCCTTCCTCAGCTGAGAGCTCAGATAAGACCTCAGCTCTGGTGACTTCTTGATTGCAGCCTTGTGAGATGTGGAAGCAGAGGCTGCAGTGAGGTCACATCCAAACTCCTGTCTCACAGACACTGGGAGATAATACATGTAAACTACCTTAAGTCACTGCACGTGCAGTTGTATTACACTAGAGAGCTAATACTAAACTAAACTATTGCCACCAGATAACTATACCAACACCTTCCTTTTCCACACCTGCCTGGTGTCACCCATCCTCTGTCACCCATTCTGTTTTATTTTTCTTATTAGAGTGTAACCTCATAGGTCATGCATTTATCTTTTTCATTCTAATGCCTTCCTCATTAGAATCTATAGGAGGTCTGCTTGGCAGGGGTTAAAGTTTCTACAATTTGGGAAGAATGGTTGTTTAAGGAAAAATGATAAATCATGAAACAAATTTAGGTACAAAATGAAATTTTTTAGAATGAAAAAAGCAAGCCTAGTAAGTTACATATTTTAAAGGTGAAAAATTTTAACAAAATATTCCTGACATTTTAGACTGCCTGACATCTTCTGCAATATCTCTTTTCCACAGTTTCTGCCTCTACATAATTTGATCACCTCTTCCCTTGAAAACAATTCTATAAACTAGTTCTCTAAAGATTCAACTTTTCTTCTGTTATGGAAAACTGAATTTGGAAGCTACTAAGTTGAGAGAAATTCCTTCCAGTTTCATAACTCCGTCTTTGTAATGTTGTATTATTGTTTACAACTGTTTTCAAGGTATTAGATATACTATTTTAAGGCATTACTAGCTTTCTTTTATAGGAATTACTTCAGAAACTATTAGAACTGATGGTATTTATTAACTGGTTTATTATTGCTGTCCTTGTGGAAATGTGTTATATTAGGGTACAGAACACACATTAATCTTCACTTTTGAGCACCTAAACTAATTATCAGTGAACATGTGGAAGAAGAGTGAGGATCGTTTGCAGCTTTATATGGATAAATCTGCCTTTATCCCTGACAGTAAAAACATTGTCTGTTTTATTTACTGTTCTTCTCTAGGACTCAGAATAGTGTCCAGCACATGTGGATCAATAACAGTCAAAATTACAAATAGGATACAGATTGTTTTACTTTTCTGTTAACAATGAGATAGCGTATGGGAATGAGTTAGGAATATAATGGGAAATCAATGAAAATAAGTCAGTTAATATATTAATCCTCAGAGTTCTTGTCTGGTTCAAAGGAAAATCCTTGATTCAGACTACTAAGATATATGGATGGATTAAAAGATAGATTTGTATATACATACATATATATGATATATATATATTTATATAGATATTCACAAATATACACATTTTATTTCCTGTTTAGAATTTTAGAGAACATTTAACTTTGCTTGTTATCTAGGACAGTCCTAAATAGAAGACTGACTATATTTTAGGATGATAAACTGGCAGAAATATGCTGATGTAGAAATACAAGAATTTTTTTAACTGAAAAAAAAAATTAGGAAAGACAAACAGTGTAACATAGAGTCTAAGAGTCTGACCGCTGAGATGTGAATAGCTCTGTGGCAAATTCCTCATCCAATAAAGCCATTGCTTTTTCACTTGTGAAGTAGATATAATCCACCTCATTGTGATAAGACAATGCATATAAAATATTAAACCCAGTGCCTACAGCAGCACTTAGTAAAGAAAACTTTGATATTTTGTTTTACAGTTAATATTACAGTTTACTGATCGCATACATTTGGAGAAATTTTAAAAGCACACCAATAGTGATCTGACTTTCACCTCTAACATATCCTGAACAAATTTCCTTTGAAGTCATTGAAAACTGACATGTAATGGAGAGGGGAAATGATAAGCACTGCCTTTTGCTGATGGATGAAAGCCAAGAAAAAGTCCATGGATCTCACAGGAAGCCAAACCTGCAGGAAGTGGGATTACTAAAACCAAGACTTTGAAACTAAGCAAAAAATGATTCAAACTCTCAAGTTTAGTTAATAATTTTCCAGAATATGTATGACAACAAAAAAGGGTCATAGGTCACATTTAACTGAACACGTAACATAACCACAGCAAATTATTTTCAATAGAATTGTCTTATGCTGAAAAGATGACTATGCAGAAATAATGTCAAAAGCCCTCTTTTCAAAAAAAAGAAAGAAAGAAAGAAACATGCAAAGCAACCAAATTTAGATAAAATGGACCTTTTGGAAATGGCCACCATTATACACATATTTAAGCTCCATACTAACTGACATAACTATAGTGCTTAAAAATTTACAAAATGCAAAACCAAAAGCTCAAAATTGCCATTGCCA